TCGTGGTTCTAGTGTAAGGACAACCCTGGACCAGATGGGTGAAGCATCATCAAGATTCAGAGTGCCAAGATGCCAAAAGCCCTCCAGGTCAGGGCGAGAACCCCTTGGTTGTTATCTCCATCTTAACTACATGAAATCAGAGACACCAAATGACTCTTTTGAGGTTAGACATGGGGAAGCAGTGGTAGAGCTGTGTTTGAAGTCTCACCTAGACCACCCTCTCTCCAAAGAGATGGACTTCTCTTCTCTACTTTCATACCAATTGCTGCAGGCATCAGGCAGTGGGTTGAAAACAGGGGTAAAATCCATAGAAGAGGAGGAAAAAAGGTGGAATTTCCATTATTTGCCTGCATGGTGGGTTGCAGGTGCCAGTCTCGCTTTTTGGTTGTGAGCATTTATGGAAAGAATAGAGGTAATTAGCAAAGTTTGCTGTTAGAGAGGCAGGAAGATTCTCAAGGAGATGTTGCAATCAGGAAATGTGTAGGAAAATCAGAAAGAGTGGACAGAGCACCCATAATGGGACAGAAAGGTGCAGCCCCATCCAATTTGATCCCCTCTTTTCTTCCCAGGACCTCGAAGATGGTCCTAGAGGATTATAATTAAGAATTATAATTAAGAAATAAGATTCCCTAGATGTTGCCCAGGCCCAGCCCAATATCAGGCGAGCAATTCTGGTGACCCCCAGCTATGGGTGAGGGTGGGACAGAGGGTTGCATCCCACTTCCACTGGGTGTCCAATTCTGGGCTCCCCAGTGCAAGAAGGAAACCACTGGAGGTCCAGCAGAGGCTGCAAAGATGATGAAGGGACCGGAGCATTTCTCCGCTGAGGAAAGACTGAGAGACCTGGGGCTGTTCAGCCTGGAGAAGAGCAGACTGAGAGGGGATCTCATCACTGCTGAGCAATATCTAAAGGGCAGGTGGCAAGAAGATGGGGTCAGGCTCTTCTCAGTGGTGCCTGGTGACAGGACAAGGGGTAAGGGGCACAAACTGGAACACAGGAAATTCCATCTGAACATGAAGAAAAACTTCTTCCCGTTGAGGGTGGCAGAGCCCTGAAAGAAGCTGCCCAGAAAAGGTGTGGAGTCCCCTTCTTAGGAGATCTTCAAAACCCACCTGCATGCTTTCCTGTGCAACCTGCTCTGGGTGCCCCTGCTTTGGCAGGGGGGTTGGACTAGATGATCTCCAGAGGTCCCTTCCAACCCCTGCCATTTTTTGATTCTGTGATTGCAAGCAGCCCCCAGCCACAGGCTCTGGATTGAAACCTTGCAGGGCTTGGTACCAGCTTTTGGGGTTCAGATGCAAATTCTCCCTCTTCTAGCTGATATTAGATGCACCAGAATTATCTTGCACAGCCAAACCAAGGCACGTCCCCCACTGTTGCCGGCATGGGAGCGAGCAGATGCTGGAGGCTGGCCAGGGCCCATCGTCAGTGAGCTGGCATCAGCAGCTCGGTCCTACAACCATCCTTCCTTGGGCTGCTTCCAGCCGAACCATTTCATCCCTCGCACGGCTGCTGGTTTTTCCCCTGGAACTTGTTCCAGGTTTTCTGCTGGCAAACAGCATTTTGTGGCCAGGCCGGAGCCACGCAGAGGCACCAGCTCCCTCTCGTGGGCTTAGTTTGGTTCTCCACGCTGGAAACCATCCAGGATTTCTCAGGAAAGTGGGGTTTATTTGGTTGCTCCCCCCCACCGCCTCATAATTTAGAATATTCATTAGTGTACTGGACATGAAAGTTTTAAGGAAACGTGCCAACTTCCATCAAGTTTCCTCTCGTAGGTGGGGTTTTTTTGATAGTTTTGCCACCCTTTTTTTTTTCTTTTTATTTTTCTCACTGGCTGGAATTCAAAGCAACTAATTTAGGCATTGCCTTGGTTTAACCCCAACTGGCAACGAGGACCTCACAGCCATTCACTCACTCCCCTCCCTCCACCCCAGTGGGATAGGGAGAAGAGGGAGAAAAAGGGGAAAAAAAAGCCCACAACTCGTGGGTTGAGATAAAGACAGTTTAATAGAATAGCAACAGAAGATAAAATAATAATAATAAAAAGGACCTCGCAGCCATTCACTCACTCCCCTCCCTGCACCCCAGCGGGATAGGGAGAAGAGGGAGAAAAAGGGAAAAAAAAAGCCCACAACTTGTGGGTTGAGATAAAGACAGTTTAATAGAATAGCAACAGAAGATAAAATAATAATGGTGAAAGAATATACAAAATTTGATGCAATACAATTGCTTACCACCTGATAATTGATTGCCCATCCCATCCCAAGCAGTGATCACAGATTCCTGTCCCCCCAGTCAATCCCTGTTTATATACTGAGCATATGGTATGGAATATTCCCTTTGGCCAACTTGTTGTGTCTACGCTCCCTGTCAGCTTCTATGGGAAGCTGAAAAAGTCCTTGACTTAATATAAGCATCGCTTAGCAACAACTAAACGAATATGAGTTATAAACATTATTCTCATACAATTTATTCTCACAAATCCAAAACAGAGCAGCTACTAGGAAAAAAATTAACTCTATCCCAGCTGAAACCAGGACAGGCATGTTAATGGTAGGTCTCTCTGATTCACTTGCCTAAGCTTCTGGAAAGAGTTGGGGGGTCTCCACTGAGTCCTCCAAGTGCCATCTTCGATGCCTGTCCTAGGAGGGGGGAGTCACCCCAGAAGTGCCCAGGTCTCTGCAACTTGGGGTGCAGGCACAGACTAAGGCATCCAGCATTTAGATATGTCAATGAAGATCATGTCATGTCATGGCCCCCCAAAGGCCATTTCAGTTAGAAATGAATGAAAAGGAGAATAACAAATTTTAAAAAACCCAACAACCTCTTTGAGTTGTACCACAAACAAAAATATGGCATGAACCCAAACAGTGCCTGGGAAACACTGTCATTTCAGCTTCTAGCTTTGATTTAGAAAACTCCTGGTTTCCCCAAAGAGCTGGAATTACCCCCAGAGCTGAATTTCCTGCAGCCTTTCCACCCAAGCCCTCAGCAGGGACATGTCACGGGTCCAGAGAGATGTTTGTCCATCCTGCAACACATGCTGGTACCTGCTGGGGACAGCCCGGTCTCTTCCCCCATCTCCCTCTTCCCTGGCTTGCCTGACCCAGCGAGTCTCTCTGGCATCCTGATGGTGCTGGCCACCCCACAAACCAAATGATGACCGAGTGCTGCAAAGAATTAGGCAACACATCAGGGGCTGCAGCACTTCAGAAAGGTGGTTTGGTGTTTTCCTGTCTTGCGTGGTACTCATCTCAGTGGCGTGGGTGGCCATGGGACAGATGGGGTGGCTGCTGACCACAGGAAGCCTTGGCTATCTTCATCTGCCATCCCCACCCCTGGGAGCCCCTGCCTGGGGCACTGCTGCTCCCCTTTTTGCAAGGCTTGACGGCTCCATCCCGCTTCCAGCCTCCCTCCCAGCACTCCTCCAGCCTTGCCCACACACACAGCTTGGCTCAGGGCTAAATTTATCACATGGGTTTGGCTGTTTGAGGCTGTAAGCTGGTGGTTCTGATAGCAGAGGATCAGGGTGACAACCACACAGAGTGAGTGTAGCTGTCCTGCCGCCTGGACCTTTAGGACCCACGTCACAACTCCCCTTGACGTCCATCTGATGAGTCCCTTAGGTATTTAAACTGCTGGTTATTTTCTACAACCAGGCATTCATTATGCCATTTGTAATATTGTTTGTTACTTCATCCCCAAGCTGTGTTTGTCTGCCAGCTCCAGGCACTGAAAGGACTCTGTGCTTTGTGTTGGCTCTTCTGAATGCCCTGCTTGGGCACATCTTTCTCCACGGACCTTTCACCATGCCTCCCACCAGGATCTGTGAGCCTTTTAGGGGGACAACAGCCCTCTCTCTCCATGTCTGGCTCGTTGGGTATCCCCTCCCCAAATGCCTGCAATAACACCATGCTGAGTCTCTGCAGCATCTTTCTCCCACACCATGGACTGTCTCCAGTGGAGCCATCTCTTTTGCACTGTGTGGACCCCCAAACTGCTTGGGTGTTGTTCTGGGGAGAGCAGAAGGGCTCTTTCACTTCTGTCCCACCTCCCCTATCACTGTCACATCTTTGAATGGGGTCAGAGAAGCTCAGTGCAGTCTGTAGTGATGATAACAACTGGTTCCTTCTCACCCAATACACAACCTCATTCTGTTTAGGGTCCTCCAAGCACCTTTCAAACCCAAGTGGCAAATGCTGCCTTGGACAAAGTCACAGCAAGGGGCACAGGCTCGGGGTAGTTATCTGGACAGCTTCATCCACGTGCTAATGACTGCCATCTCTCTGTGGTCCCAATCGGCCCTAATTCCTGGTCAAAATTAGTGGTTAGGAATCACACCCACCTCTTCTTCCTCCCTGCACAGCTTGAGCATATTGGAGAGGAGTAATTACCACCAGGGCAACTTTGCCCCACTGGAGGAGGGCAGATTTCAAAGTCTTTGAGCTGCAGGGCCCTTTGGGCAAGGGAAATAACCCTTTGCTCTTCAACGATGCCTGGGATGATTTATTTCCCCTTAGATTAGCCATGGGATACAGGAATGCTTTTCTGCAGCAAAGGCAGAGCAAACCAAGCAAAAAAACCAGCCAGTTTTGCTTTATAGCAGCAAAAAAATACCCGACTGTGTTTTCCTGCAGGCTGTGGGGGACTCTGTCTCCGCTACCGCAGGACGTGTAAATCCAACACAATGAAATATTAATTATTAGAGTCTGTCCAACTGGGATTCCTCAGTGCTTTCAGAGAGCTGAATAATTCTGGCACACAGGAAAAAAACCCACACACAAGTCCCCCTTTTTTCTTTTTTTTTTTTTTTATATGAGAAAATATTATGTGATGAGTAAATTAGAGCTTTTGAGCATTCGGGCTGAGGGACAGGAGGGGGCTCAGATTGCTTCAGGGCGAAAAAAATGCAAATTCCTAAATAGGGTATGAAAATATTATGTGATGAGTAAATTAGAGCTTTTGAGCATTCGGGCTGAGGGACAGGAGGGGGCTCAGATTGCTTCAGGGCGAAAAAAATGCAAATTCCTAAATAGGGTATGAAAGAGATCACGGTCTAATGAAGAGGTAAAGGAAGGTGCATCACCCAGCATGGCTCCTCCGGCACGGAGATCTGCCCTCGCAGCATGGTGTAACTGTGAGAAGGAGGGGGTAAAGGAAAAGTAGAAGTCGATTAATAAAAGAGAGCCTACATCTCTGAAGACTCCCGTTATGCAGCACTTCAGAAGAAGGCATTCATCCAGAGCAGCCACGGGCACTAACCCAAGGGAGGCGCGCTCAACAAGGCTCAAAGCCCCTTTTGTCCCTCTTGTTTACCAGGGCTGGGTTTGAAGCACAGCACAGAGCGTCATCCCTGGGCTGAGCAATGTTTTGCAGATTTGGGAGCCCGGGCTGACCCCCGTTTAAGCATTTCCATGCTTTTGCCAGAGCAAAACTCCTCCAAAAAGTGCTGCTTGGGAGGAGGGAGAGGCATTCAGCAGCACCACTGGCAATGAAAAATCTCTGAGCTCTCATCATTGTTCATTTTTTCAGCTTCCTTTTACCCTCATTTCTCTGCAGGCTCTGGAAACTTCTGCATGAAATACTTGGCCTCCCTGAAATCTGTATTCTTCTCTTATAAACCCCTCTACTGTTCCTCAGCAGCTCGACCCAAATGTGGCAAATGCTTTTTGTTACCCTGCGGTTGCTTCGGGGGATGTTGGAGGGATGGGCAAATGCAGGGCTTGCTGGAAGACCCGATGCCAAGTGGTAGGTCCAGGGGGGGTGCTGGCCCTGGGTAAGGTCACTTGGCTCAAACGACAGCCACAAGCAAGCAAGGCAACACAAAGAAGAGGATGACCAAGGACAGCTGCTGGAAGTGGAGATGGGGACAAGGACTTGTAGATAAGCAGATGTGTGCAGATGTGCACAGATAAGAAGCGTTTCAATAAAAAAATGTGGCACTTCAGGCAGAGCCCGACAGGAAGAGGTATGTGGCTGGTGTGTCTGACTGTCAGTGGGGCTCATGGCGATGTCATTGGCCCCAGCCCCAGGAGTGAGACGTGAGGGGTGCAAGAAGTCACAGAACCATAGAACGGTTTGGGTTGGAAAGGACTTTAAACATCATTGAGTTCCACCCCCTGCCATAGGCAGGGACACCTTCCTCTAGACTAGGTTGCTCTAAGCCTCATCCAGCCTGGCCTTGAACCCCTCCAGGGATGGGGCAGCCACAGCTTCTCTGGGCAACCTGGGCCAGACTCTCACCACCCTCACAGCAAAGAATTTATTCCTAATATCTAATCTAAATCTCCCCTCTTTCAATTTAAAAACTTTCCCCTTCATCCTATCACTACAGTCCCTCAAAAAGAGTCCCTCCCCATCTCTCCTGTAGGCCCCTTTTCGAGACTGGAGGGGGTTCTAAGGTGTCCCCAGAGCCTTCTTTTCTCCAGGCTGGACAGCCCCAACTCTCTCAGCCTGTCTTCATTGGAGATGTGCTCCAGCGCTTGGATCATCTTCGTGCCCCTCCTCAGGGCACGTTCTAACAGATCAAGGAAGAAGAGTTGTAGTTAGGACCCATCTCAGGCTCTGGCTTTTATACACAGGGACTGCCTTTTCCCTTCCCCAGCAGCAACCCTGTGAGTTTTGTGCAGAGGGGTTGTTATTTTTGCCCACCCCACTCCCTAAGTTATGGAAGTTGCCCCTGTGTGGCTCCCGGCTGCACCGAGATAAAGTAAGTTTGCAGAAGAAACCCCTCTAGAGATTTGCATGACATGCAGAAGCAGCGTCTCCCTCCCCCAGGGCTGCAGGACATAGCACGACCACTTCTCCATCAAGCTTCTAAGCAACAGAGCTCAGGCATGAGAAGCGCATGAGAAGCTACAAGTTGGGAGGCAACACAGAGCAGGAGGTGGCGACCATAATACTTTATCAATTCTGCAGCATGTTAGATGTCCATACCCTCCTGGGGGAATCTGATCATGCTCTTCAGGCCTTCAGGAACCCCTTTCTCCCACCACCATTGAGCAGATGAAGAAGGACACTGGCATTAGACTCCCTGCCATCTCAATCCCGAGCAAGCCTGGGTCCCGGACACGCACTCAGGTTGCACAAGAAGGTTTGGCAGCAATATGAGGTGTAGGTAGCCAGGCCCAAGCTGAAGTTGTGGCGTGGGCAGGTCTCGGAGCACTTCTTGGTGATCCTCTTCCAGAAAGACAAAAAGCCTTGCCCAAAAAAGAGACAACAGCATTAGCAATGAGAATTTGTTCAGTGCTCCTCGATCTTGTACAGGAGGGAGATGGGCTAATAGGTCCTGCTGTCCCACAGATTCCCAAGGACCAGCATGGCCAGTTGCTGGTCACCCAAGCTGCTCACCCAACAGTTGCTGGTGACCAGCTACACAAGGCATTCAGTATCCCTGCTGGGCACCTGGCACCTGCCAGCATGGACCCTCACGTCAAGGTTTTCTTAGATGTATAGTGTCATCCATGAGACAACATTCATGCCTGGATTGAAAGCACATTTCCAGGCTTCTCTGCTTGGAGGAAATAATTTTATTCCCCTTGATAGCTCTCTAGGCCTTCTCATCCACCCTACTTACCCCACTTTTCATCTCCCTGTCTAATCAAGATTAAAATTCATTTATTCTTCCTCTGAACAGTCCTGTCTTTGTCTTTCCTCTTCTCCCTGTGTCCCCTGTCCTTTCCATGCAGGCATAAAACTAAGGGGAAGATCTCAATGCGTGATGGGGAGGAGGATTTCAAACTTCAGCACTGTAGGGTCAGGCTGGTAATGGCTCCACCTCCCACATGTTCTTCCCCGTGACTCCTCAGCTTAGCCATCCACAAAGGGCAACCATAAAAAATCCACGCGAAACCCCACATCCCATTCCTGAGTCCCCGTCAGAGGACACACAGCCATTGCACATACCAATTCCTACAGAGGCAACATTGGTCACACAGTACTCATCCTTGTCTGAGCACTTCTCGGCCTTCAGACAGCTCCAGTTGCTTTGTTCCCACTCGCAGGTGTAGCAATACAGGGCATTTGCTGCAGGAGGAGACAGAGGATATGGAAGATGGAGACAAAATGGATATGGAAGATGGAGACAAAATGCTGTGAGTCCCAGTAACAAAAATTACCACCTGCTTTCCATCGACTCTTGAATGCACAAGGTGTGGGTCTGCTGAAAGTGGTGGGGCTGCAAGACCCGGACCTAACCCACGCTGATGCCTACACACTTGCCCATTTACACCCATGATGTGCACTCAGGTACACACACATCCGTGTGTACACGCATCGATGGTGCAAGTCTGCCCTTCTTGCCCTGCACACAAAACAATAGCCCAGTGGGCCAAGGGTACTGGTTTTGATGGGATGCAGGGAGCTGGGAAGGACAAGGTCCCTCTGTAAGAGCCTACAGGGATGTCCCAAGGCTTGGGGTCACCCTTTCTGGTTGCTGGAGACACTGTAATGTAGACTGTAGCCTAATTAAGCTGTAAGCACAGCAGTTGAATAGGGTTAATTGGGACCTCCATAGACTAAATAAGGCAATCATCTCCCACCCCTGTGTCTCTGGGAGGAACTTCAATGCCCTCAAACATATATCCATTCCCTGGGTTAAAAATAAAGGTGAGGAGAATGTCTTTTAACTCTTTGCTGGGTGAATCCAGCCCTTAAACACGTGCAGGTGAACACTTCGTTTTTACTGCCCAGGTTCTCTAACACAGTTTAGGGCACTCTTCATTTTGGCACTGAAGCCAATCTCTCTGTCCCCTGGGCCTTGTTAACACTTGGAAATTTGTCAGAATCACTATTCTGGTAAGTGAGCATAGCTAAGTAGCAGAAAGGTATTCTTAGGCCACCACGAGACAGAAATAACTATTCCAAGAAATTATTTTTCTGCACCAGACAAAGTGGCAAATTTCCAAGCGCTGGCAAACCCTCTTCCTCTTTAAAAAATGAGGATAACATTTATCCTCTCTGGTGGCTTAACTGTCTTGTCTATAGGGACCGTAGGATCATATACTTTAAGAGGGCTCTGAAATCACTTGCAATCTCTCTGCGAAACAAAATACATAATCTATAATGCAAATAATATGCAAATATACATCTCCACCCAATATCCCAGCATAAGGCTGCTTAACCCATTTAGCCCATGACCCAGCTTCTCCCCTAATTCCACAACCTGGTCCCCAAAATCTCTGAAATCAGCCGAATCAAGCCTGTTGGGTCTCCTGAGATGGGCAGAAACCAGGCGGTGTTGAGCACGCAGATGCACAAGGGCCAGATGTTGTAGGTCTGGCCCTGTCCCACTGCTGCTGCTCGAAACAGCATCGCTGATGGTGGTAGGAACCAGGTGCACCCAGTTGCTGCATGTATTTTGCTGCCGTAGGCTGGAGCACTTCTTCATCAAGATTTAGACATAACCACAGCCTTGCATCATCTCAACAGACAAATTCACTGGAAAGTCTCTGAACGAAGGCAGAGCAGTGGCAACTGCTTCCTGTTCTCTGTCTTGCTTTCGTAAAAATCCAGCAGCACATGAGTCTATAGGGAAACTTCCCTGCAGAAAATAAACCTCTCACACATCCAGGCTGAGACTACGGATGAGAAAGCCACCGTGTCCTTCAGCTGCACCATTGCAAGAGCTAAGGCATCCTCTCCCATGATTTCTTTCCCTGTCCACCAGGCATCCCTGACTTTCAAACACTCAACAATTCTTTGTCTAGTAGCGAACCGTGATACCTCACCTTGAACTGCGCAGAGGATCAAAACCAGCAAGGCAAGGAGGGAGGCCTTCATCTTCTCTCGGTCGTCTCCGCAGCCCAGGAAAAGCACCCTCACCTGGGGACAGGATATATATCTTCCCTGCCTTTGGACCGAGTGATGATGAAGACAACAATTTTGAAAGAGTGGGCAGGGATCATGCATTATTTGACAGGCTAGGAATGCATGTGGGTTGTTTTCTCACCTCGGCATCGCCTTCAGGCTGGTCTGGTGGGTCCGGAGAGGAGTGAAAGCACTGTGGCAATTCATTCCATTTATTGCTTTTAATACTTTAATTTATCTATGGTCAGGGATAGCAGCGCTACTGATGTCTGAGTGAGGGTTTTGTACTGTTTAGCTCCGATCTGATCATCTTATCTGTGGCCAGATACTCCAGTGAAGGCAGCTACTCAAAGCAAAATGGTAATAAGTGGCATAAATTAATGGCTTCACCTGGGTGGATTGTTGCCAAGTGCGTTTCCAGTGTTAGACCTGGAGAACTCCCAACATCTACAGTCAGGGTAGATCGAGCTGTATATTCACAGTTGGCAATATAAACAGGAAATGTCTTATAAATTCCTGTTTGCCTATAAAAGCTGCTGGTTACTGACAAAGTCCTAAATGTTCCGCATCCTTGTTTTGAGAGCACCTGCCACAAGAGAGGAATGGTTTTGGGGTTTAAACGCACAGGTTGGGACACAGCAGGTTGGTTTACAGCTTTTCAACAGCTCTCCTTTGCTACATCTGAGCAAAGAGTAAAAATATCTTTGTCCCCCTCCTACATGGAGCCTTCAATTCAAAGTCCTGCTAGATACCAGTCAGATATAATGTTCTCAGCATTTACAGTTCCTCTACTTGCTTATATTTTGGGTGAGGCTGATAACTTCAGTCCTTCTGGAGCTTCCATTTGACTGCCTGTCCCACTTCTGTTTCCCAGGAGTTACCTGGAAGTTTGGTGCTGAATATCAGCAGACATCTCCGTGAGTCACCACGTGCCTTAGCCACCAAAGATCAGAGAGGACAAAGCAGGAGCAGCCCCTCTGAATAAAGCCACTTGGGCAACTGGCTGTCTGCCCGCCTCTTCCTTCTCCACCCTGCAAGACATGGTCAGCAGGGAAGAGAACAGGGATCTACTTTTATCTAAATGGAGTTTAGAAGATGGAGATGCAGAAGGAGAAGAGGCAGAGGCTCAGAAAACATGTGGAAGAAAGAGTTTAGATGATGAGGGGAGGGCTGAAGTGCTTGGGGGCCAATCAGTCAGATGAAGCATCCCTGAAGCTCATCAGAGGTGTTTAGGACATTTGATGGAACTAATCATGGCTCATCATAGTGAAGGCATGGCCAGAGGAAGTTCAAAGGGATACCAAAACCCATACTGTCTTCCTTTTTAAGAAAAAAAAACCAAACAGGGGAGGACAAGGGGGAAATTATTAGGATGGGCTTTTTTGGTTGATTTGCAGATATTTTTGAGGTTTCTGACACCAGGACTAAACCACTGGGTCTGCCAGTACAGCTGACATAAAGCAGGATCAACAGGATGATGAAGTCAGCCCTGATAACCCCATGAGCACTAACCATTCCTCTCCAGTGGACATACACCTTCTGGGCGTGGCGAGGATAAGCCACATCTCTTGCCCAACAGATGAAGTTCTGCCAGAGTCGGGGACTACATGCCACCGTGGATGCCAGAGAAGGTGTGTCAGTCCTTCCAGATGTCATGAGGCAACAACTGAAGAGCTAGACCTATTCTAGGGAATAAGGATAGCCTGGTGTGATTCACTGCCTGGTGTCCTCCTGCAGGGGTGACCCTTTTGGGGGGGGTCTGGACATCAGCCTTGGAAGTCAAAGTTCAGTGGAGCTCCCACAAAGGATTGCACTAAAAAAGCAGTTTGATTTAACCAAATTTGACTGGGGTTTTTTTGAGAAAAAAGGGAAAAATAATCGTGTTACTCATCAGTATCATTAACAAGGTACATTCTCAATTATTGTTTTTAAACAAAGAAATGTCCCTGACTCAGTTTATTCCCTCACTTCCAAGGACTGATGGCGTGAATGTCTCCTCTCTGACACAGAGCTGGAGAATCATAGAATTGTCCAGGTTGGAAGGGATCTTTAAGATCATCGGGTCCAACCATCAACCTAATACTGACAAAATCACCATTAAATCATGTCCCTCAGAACCACGGCTGCCTGGCTTTTCAATACCTCCAGGGATGGTGACTCCACCACTTCCCTGGGCATCCTGTTTTGATACTTGATAATCCTTTTGGTGAAGAATTTTTTCCTAAGATCCATCCTAAACCTCCCCTGGGGCAACTTGAGACCATTTCCTCTTGTCTTATTGTTACTTGGGAGAAGACACCAACCTCCCCTGGCTACACCCTCCTTTCAGGGAGTTGTAGAGAGCGATAAGGTCTCCCTTCAGCCTCCTTTTCTCCAGGCTGAACAACCCCAGTTCCCTCAGCTTCTCCTCGTAAAACTTGTTTTCTAGATCCCTCACCATCTTTGTTACCCTTCTCTGGACTTGCTCCAGAATCTCAACGTCTTTCCTGTAGTGAGAGGCCCAGAACTGAGAGCCACCCAGTCCAGGGATTGAAATCTGCTCCTGACTGACAGCAGGAAGATGATCTACAAGGCCACAGGATGTGGTCCACCACTGGACCGCTGGCAGGAGTGGTTTGATGGACAAGTGTGGTGATAGATAAGGGTATACGACAGGCAACTTGGCATTTTGAGGGTTGCTAGTGGCCCATTGAGCCAGATAGTTGGGAAGTTACCATTCTGGCCTCAGGTATGTCTGATGTATATGTGTGAGGAGTGGGACTGCCATGGCTGGCATTTCCTCAGAGGCACACGGGAGACTGCGGCTGGTGGTGTCACCCCAGGTGGACAACACATGGAAGATGCATGACTGCAGCATGGAGGACAGTGCTTGACTGGGTCAGGGCAGAGAGCTGCAAAAAAGGTGTCTATCCAGCATCACAGAGCAGAAATAAGGCTACAGCTAAGAATAAATTAAATGTGTCCAGGACCATGTCCAGCACAGAGGTCAAGAGGTCAACATCAACAGGGCCTCTTGTGAATAGTTGTTCCTTTGTGCTACCTCCTCTTTTTTTCCAGACATTGCACAGGACAATGGTGGTAATAGTCGTTCCTTTGTGCTACCTCCTCTCTCTTTTTCCAGACATTGCACAGGACAATGGTGGTTGGTCCATGTTAAAACCTTGTCAGGGAATGCGCTAACAATTAAAACGATTAATTAAACATTGTGGATGATGGCGTTCCAGACCAGTGATGTTCCTAAGAATTGTTTGTTTTCCCAGCTTGGGTTCTGCCTTGGAGATCAGACTCTTGCAGGCATGTGAATCACATCCTTCAGGGTTAGAGCTTGGTCCCTGATTTTACTCTTGGTGCCACGCTGCGCTACACAACCGTGTTGGAACTGGCTGGTGAACACAGCTTTATCTGGCTGCCCTCTGCAATGTTCTGGCCATTGAGTCCCCCTGGATGTAGAAAAAAGATCAGAAGTCAATGAACAGAAGGCAGCCAGGGATCTGCTCATCTTCTGGGAGCCTCGTACCCAGTTCTTCTCACAAAAGGCCTCAGGACAAGTGTCCACATATGGAAGCACGGTGACAGAAGAACAAAACCACCATGCCTTGGTCTCATAGGATCTCTTCCTTTTATTTTCCCTGATGTTTTAACTATTCAGCTTCCCGGTGGGCCAAGCACGATGTCTCCCTCATCACTTCTTATGTGGCATCTCAGAGGGTTCCCAAATATTTCCATCTATCCCAATACATATGTATTTCCATTTCCCACCCAGTTTTAGTACACCAGGCTGCCAGGAGCTGTAGGACTGAAGAGGTTCTCAGCTCCAGGTATGATTGCACCACCAGGGATTTTCCAGCCCTAAATAAAACCCATTGAGGCAACTGCAGACTCTAAGACTGTTTTGTTCCCCATCCTTCATTTTGGGTGGGGTTGTGAGGGAGGAAGAGGCCAGATAAACACGGTACCACTTGCTTTTGGCAGGGAAGACAGTTTGAAGCACACCCTGGGAGGAGAAGAGAAAGCTCTGTGTGTATGTGTCCTGGGTGAGGGCAAGCTCCAGCTCTTCCCCTACTTGAGCCCAATGACAATGGCCAAATAGTGATTTTTTCCCCTTCTGGCTCTTTGCCTCCATCTTTCTCCTCCTGCTCAGGGATTTACTTGAACTTGGTCCTGCAACCCCTTCTGCCTCTTTGCCTCCGTCTTTCTCCTCCTACTCAGGGATTTACTTGAACTTGGTCCTGCAAGGCTCATTCTTTGTACCCTTCCTGGTCATAACATCCCCAAAATCAGGACACCAAGGTAGGTTGTCACCACTACTCTCCTGACACAGAGCTGTCCCCACCTCAGACCTTCACGGATGCTTCAGTGCTTAACTCCCAGGGGAGACAAGGGGAGCTCGGAGACAATCCCAGCCATAGGTTTACTTCAAATTAACATGGCCTTCAATCTTTTTCGTGCCAAATCACTGAAGGACAGAGATCCCATGGCTGCTCCTACCCCACCTCCCATGCACTCCCCATCCCTGGGTGCTGTGACAGTGGCCAGTGGGAGTCCTGCTGTGAGGCACAGGTACTCGAGTTCAAGAAGACAGCGTGGGCAGCCTGGGTCCAGGTTACACTGAGATGTTGAAATCCTTCTGAGAACATGCCCTTTGGCTTCCTCTCTTTCAAGCAGGACAGGGAAATGGTGCCCTAGGGGCATCCCAAATCTCTCTTGACCAGGATTGTCTAATTTTATGGTGTCTCTAGGAATCACGCACTGCCCAAATCCCAGCTGAGCCTGGATGAAGTTACACACAGGGTGGTACCTGTAAGTAGAGGCATTAATAGCATTATCCAGGAGTGATGTCCAGGTGTCACAAGCTCCAGAGGAGGTCACCACCCTTCCAGCTAGCCTCAGGGTGGAACCACACTACAGAAGAGATATCATGGAGGCAGCTAAGCCTGTACCAATAATACTGGAGAGCCTGTGCACAGTTTGAAGGGCTATAACACAGTTGTCCACACTTTAATTGTTAGCATGCTCCTTAGCATGGTTTTGGCCTGACCAACTAGGACCATCCCTGGCAATTCCAGATCTTCTTCCCAACTGGTATTTTGCATTCAACCACCTTATTTTGGAGGGAGAAAACAGCTATACAGATGGACACCAGCTGACCCCAGGGCCAGGAACTGACACAGGATGTTTCATTTACTAATATGCCTTCTGCATATCGTTCCAGAGCTTGTCAAGACCAGAGTCTTGACAACATGCTAGAAAAATACCAGTGGAGATGCAAATTCACTGTTTTTCCAGACCTTTTTCTATAAGCCTACAGAAATTTCTGTCTGGCTGAAACAGTAAGGGGCTGTGTTGATCCAGACCATATCCTCCCCTCTTACTCACCTCCATTTGTTTAGCTCTCCACATTCTTGCATAAACAACCTGACCATGCTGTTTGCAAAACCCCAGCCCTGCTGTGAGTCAGCACTCAATAAAAAAGGAGCATAAATAATAAATATCTTGGAAATGTCTTTTTTTTTTTTTTAATGTCCGCTTGCATGGAAGCAATAAAAGAATAATGAAAGGACTCTTCTCCATCAAACTCAAGCTAGTTTCAGACTAGCCTTTCCATACGTGGACATCAGATGTTCAGAAGATGTTCTGGGGACAGATGGGCAGAACGACTGTAGATTCTAGGGCACCAGGATGGGTTAAGAAGCCTGCACTAGTTATTCAACAGGGGCCTCATCATAGTCTGTTCCAGAGAAGGGGCCTGGTAACACTGACCAGACCGCAGTTAGGATCACAGAATCTTCTGCATTAGAAGGGACCGTAAAGATCATTGAGTCAACACTGATCATCAATCCAACACTGACAAAACCGCCACTAAACCATGTCCTTCAGCACCACATCTACCCATCTCTTAAATACCTCCAGGGATGGTGACTCAACCACTTCCCTGGGTAGCCAATTCCAATGCTTGATAGCCCTTCCAGTGAAGAAATTTTTCCTAAGATCCATCCTAAACTTCCCATGGTGCAATTTGAGACCATTTCCTCTTGCCCTATTACTTGTTACTTGGGAGAAGAGACTGACCTCCTCCTCCTCCCTACACCCTCCTTTCAGGGAATTGTAGAGAGGGAGAAGGTCTCCCCTCAGCTTCCTTTTCTCCAGGCTAAACAACCCCAGCTCCCCCAGTGGCTCCTCACAAGATTTGTGCTCCAGACCCCTCACCAGCTTCGTTGTCCTTCTCTGGACACTCTCCAGCACCTCAATGCCTTTCTTGTAATGGGGGCTCCAACACAAAATAGTTGAGGTGCAGCCTTCTTGGTGTTATGCTCACCCTTCCCACTCTTGGGAGCTTCATGCTGGTGGCATTATGGTGAGTCTGGAGCCCTGTGCCAGGAAAAATAAGATATTCATGCTGATGGTTCCTTCTTCCTCTCCCTAGGATCCATTCAGAGCCATTTTAATTATGTTTAGTAACATTTTTTTTTTTTTACATGCTTTTTTTTGGTGTGTTACACCTCAATTTACTATATGCAGTGCCTTTTACATACATTAGGAACTGCTTCTGTAGTGTTTGTTACCCCTAAAACCAGCCTGGTCCAGCTCCAGGTCTGCATTTCTTCAGCTGAGTAGTTTATAGCCCAGGCATCTCCAGTTCTAGCCCAGGGCCCATCTCCTCACCCCATACCTGCACTCTTCTGTCCCATATCCCACATCTCCTCAAGACCTTTG